TTCACCTGAGAAAAGTAATTTATGGAGATTTCCATGGAAACTCCTTAAAAATGGGGTTTTCAAAATGTGTTTACAAATTGTTTGACAAGATGTTCAACAATTTTGAGTGCAATGACACAATCAATGGAATGAAGACTAGTTGTAAGGACAATGACTATTCAGCCAATACAAGTGTAAATAATTGTGACATTCATGATAAAAGCAAGGAGATAGTGATGAATATTAAGTCAAAAGTGACCATTCTTTAGACATTTGTACCTACTCAACTGCTTCATGTCCAAAGGCATTTGCCTTTGGATGAAATGTACATGAAACCGCCACTAGGTTGTGCCAAAACGACTACATGCTGTGGAGGTTTAACTAACTGTTGTGCAAAGTTTAATTCTGTTGTGAGAAATGCACCAAAGCAACTGAGAAAAACTGTAAAAGTGGACGAGAAGAGTTCGCAATCAAACAAAATCTGCCATTTGTTTTGGAACAGCACCATCTGGTGGAGCATTACTAAAACTACAGGATTTAAAAAGCTCATTTGGATGGACACTAATGATCCACACGGGAGAGGTCAATTTATTAGTTGAGAGGAAATGTGAAAATCTGAGCAGTTTAACACTCCTAAAAAAGAGCCACATGGCAGAAGCCTTTATCTAACAAGTCTAATGTCAACGAATGAGACCTGCTGTTTTTTTATTGAAAAACACATCATTAACAATTAATAAACTATTGTTTTATTTTGATCTTTTATATTTTATACCTTTATGACAGTTTTCATGTTAAATAATCTTATTTAAAATGAATTCCTGTGTTTTAAAGCAGATGAACCTTTAATTTGAGTGTGATAATATTCTACTCAACACTGTTTTGTGCTGTTGAAGCTCATTTGTGGCAGCACTGACCTATAACCATTCAGAATGGGACAAAAATGTTCTCAGGTCCTCCAGAGTACCAAAAGACAGCAGAACATGTTGATCTAGTCAACACTCACCTGTTCATTCTGACTATAATTAATTTTAGCAAATCCTATCCTGATTTCAGTACCAAGGGTCTACGGACCAAACAACAAACGGAATGGAAAATAGGGTAGCAGCGTGTCCAGGCAGGCTGGGAAAAGTGTGATGTGTGATAAAAAGGTTTCATGAAAAAGGAAAGGTGTACAAGATCCACCAGGCAGGAGGCTGAGAGGAAGACCAGGATGGAGATCTACGAGTGAGGTGAAAGAGGACATGAAGTGAGTTGCTGTGAGGGTGAAGGATGTAAAAGATGGGGCTAAATGGAGACAGCCGATTCGTCGTAGAAACCCCTAAAGGGACAAGCCAAAGACACAGAACACTTTTTTTTTATTCCACTGTCATTTTGGGATCTTTTAAAATCCAGGTTGGATTTATTTATTGGAATAAAAATGATTGTGTCTTGTATTTGTCACGTTTAGAGCAGGAGGTTTGGACCCAAAATGCAGAAACCCAGACAACTCAGGCAGGAGCGGTTGAATAAATGAAAAGTCATTTTATTAGGATGATGAGTAAATATCCAAAGGGCAGGAAGCCAAGCCTAAAGTCTAGAAATACTGAATTACAAAAACAAAAGCTCATTTATGAGCAAGAACCTGGAGTTTCTATAGGGGCCAGAACAACACTGACACTATGGACCAACTAACACTGAGACAAGACAGGGTTATGCACACACACACACACACACACACACACACACACACACACACACACACACACACACACACACACACACACACACACACACACACACACACACACACACACACACACACACACACACACACACACAGGGTGATAAGAGAATTGCGCACAGGTGAGACTAATAAACTGAGAGGAGGAGCAGAACAGGGCAGGGGAGGAAACCAGACCTAAATGGGAAAGGAATCAAAATGAACTAAAGGGAGATGCAACCTAGATAATCTAACCATATAGAAAACTAAAGAAAGGTGAACTGATAAACCTGACACTAGAAACACTCGGGGTTAGAACTTAAAGAGACCAGATCTAAAGGAAGCGGAGATACTACAGGGGGTCTTAGTACTGAAAAATGGGTAAACTAAATAAGTAGTGAGTGCCTAGGGGGAACATGAGGGAAACCTGGAGGGGGCTGGAGACCACAGGGACACAGAACATGACAGTATTTACTTATGGGGGTTGGTGGGAATGAGGGTTATGCGGGGTCATTTTAATCTATAAGGCACTTTGAGTTGCATCGGTTGCAGAGGTGTGGCCAAGTCACTGCTTTACAAGTCACAAGTAAGTCAAAAGTCTTTCCAGTCAAGTCTCGAGTCAAGTCCAAGTGAAAGTCAACCAAGTCCATGTCGAGTCCAAAGTCAATGATGTGGAAGTCCAAGTCAAGTCCAAGCCCTTACTTTGAATTTTTAAATCATAATCAAGTCATCTGTCCAACTTCAATTTAATGACAATGATAAATTCCAGAATTAAAGCTTCTTAAAGCTTCATTTATTTGCTCAAACAAGCAGGAAGTGCAACTGAAACTGATTAAAAACTAAGAGCTGCTGCATTTAGCAGTAAATCAAACCCAGAATGAAGAATGATTCATGATTTTTGTCCATGTCGCGCCACTTTTGTGCTAAAATATCAAACATGCTCAAGTCGTCATCAACAGATGCAAGTCAGTGGCGCTCAAGTCCAAGTCAAGTCGTAAGTCATTATAGATTTTATCAAGTCAAGTCAGAAGTCATTAAAATAATGACTCGAGTCTGACTCGAGTCCAAGTTATGTGACTCAAGTCCACACCTCTGAACGGTTGTATGACAAGTGCTTTATATATAAAGTTTGATTTGATTTGTTTTATCTTGAGCCACTCAAATGAAGATTTGTCATGTTTAAATTTTGGATTATCAGCAGCAGAAACACAGACAAGCGCTTAAAACTCCATAAATATTTATTACATATCAACAAACAGAATCAACTACCTTCACAGCAGTGGTCTACAGCACTTTTTAAAAAGAAATCTTCAAATAATAATAATAATAATAATAATAATAATAATAATATAGTTTGTTTCATTTGAGGCCACATTTCATACACAAACATTTACAAGTATTACTTGGCATTAAAAACGATGGCGGCACAATATTTTAAGACACTTGGTGTTTTTTTTGTACATTTTCCTTCATTTTGATATCACAGAGGGGTTCAGCAACAATCTAAACAGGAATTTAAATAGTTGGAAAAAAGAAAAGAAAGACAGAAAAAACAATGACCAGGATTATGAGGAAGGGGTTAAACTGAAAGTAGGAAAACGCGACTAACGTGCATTGCTCCCTTTCTCCCCCTTAGTTCAGGGTGATCAAGACTGAAGTAGAGTGTATTAGTGACTATTTCCTCCACCTTTCCTCCGCTGTTCCCAGGTTTAGTGTTGGAGGAACTCATGCAGGCGGAAAAACGGGAAAGGAGCGAGAAAATATGGAGGAAGAGAGGAGACCCATGCATCTTCTGATAGCTGTTGTGAAACCATGGAGGCACTCTCAAAGGAACCACAGCTCAGATTAAATTTACCCATTCACAATGTTGATTTGCACAGTTTCTCAGCTTTATATGTAAATTTTGACTGTTTCCACCATTTGAAAAATCATGTTATGTGCATGTCTATAGAAGGGCTGGTAAATGAACGTGATTAAATGTGAATTTAAATGAAATGTTTTGTCAAAAAAGGACACTTTATTTACCTTAGAAATATAGAAAACTGGAAAAACCTCATCCAGTCTATGGGAAGGTCCCATTCTTAATGACTGATCTTTCAATCAAACTGCCCTGTCCCCACAAAGTGGACGTTCTCGGCTTGGAGCAGCTGAACAGGAAGCAAAGCCAGAGCCGGGCTGCCTAATTTAACTCATTCACTGCCAGCTGTTTTGTGATCAGATAGCCCCTGACTGCCAGCATTTTTAATGTATTTTGAAGAGTCACAGAATATTGTGCTCCATGACCACGTAAACACCAAAATTACCAAAAGAAAGAGCAAACTCACATCTTACATCAGGACGAGTGTTTCCAGCTTTTTCTGTTCTTTCACAATCTGTGTTGAAGTGTGAGCTGCATAAGCTTTTCCGGTTAGCGCCTCGCTTTAGGCATAGCGGCGTCCCAAAACAATCTCCTAATTCATGGATTGTCTGCTTCATGATCACGTGACTTGTAACACACAGTGATGAAAATCAACTTTATAATTCCATTTTTAGTTCTTTTTTATAACACAGAAAAGTTTTTTTTACCTTGCTGACAGTTTCATAATTTGTGTGTGTGTGTGTGTGTGTGTGTGTGTGTGTGTGTGTGTGTGTGTGTCTGCTCTGTCTTCTCGATCCCCAGTGAGTCGTGGAGGATGGCTGCTTATACTGAGCCAGGATTCTCTGGAGGTTTCTTCCTGTTAAAAGGGAGTTTTCCTCTCCACTGTTGCTTTATGCTTGCTTGGTATGAGGATTGCTGTATAGACACTGACACCAGTCAGTGACTTGATGCAATTTGCTGGGTTCCTTATATAGGAAAAATTATTTCTGATTGGCTTAATGAACTGACCTGAATTGGAATTTTTATTATGTGAAGTGCCTTGAGATGACTCTTGTCGTGATTTGGCGCTATATAAATAAACTTGAATTGAATTGAAGTTTGCCGACTGCAAAACTTCCTCAGAGCAAACAAAACTGTCAGCAAGGTAAAAAAAAACCTTTTGTGTTATTACAAAAAAAAAAAAAACTAAAAATGGAATTAGAAACTAGACACAGTAAGAACATACCAAAGAAATCAACTTTATAGCCGGGATGTATACTCTCAAGGTACACAAGCTTGTTCCCAAGCCTGCTCCGTTAAAAAACGGAATTGACAACTTTAGTCATCAATGGCAGTGAACAGTTATATTTAAAAGGACAACTTTAGTCGTTAATGGCAGCGACTGAGTTAACAGGCACAATATTCTGCTCTGTTTGTGTTTGCTAATTTTATTTAAGGAGTTGGTTTTTTACACGTTTTGTTTAGAGTCTGGTTTTGTTCTTGTAGGGAAACGTTTAGGTGACGGACCTGTTGACTGTGACTGCAGCCTGTCTTTCGTTGGTTGGCAGAGCTGTTGGTCAGTTTTCTTACCTCAGCAACATGTGTGTGTCTGGAGCCGGCGTTCTGTCGAAGCACCATACCTTGTCAGATTGGCATACCCATATTACAGAATATGCCAGTCTGACAGGACCGGGAATGTCAGACTGATGTAGCTGTAATCTTACCCTGCACCCGAACTCTTACCCTAACCCCAGGGACAGCATACCAGCAGATAAAGCACATGTGCATTTTCTGCTGGGATTTCCCCAGAAGTGGCTGTGGAGAGGGAAGTTTGGGCTGCTGCTCCCACGACCCGACCCCGGGTAAGTGGAAGAGCCCATGCTTGCTTAATAATGTCACAGGAATGTGGCTTGAAGAGAGTGCCTCTAGGAATTTAACTCTACCAACTTGACTGGAGTTGACTGGACCCCTCTAAACTTCTGAGAACTACAATCATGGCTGCTAATGTCAAGACTATGGGATGTTTTAAAAATGGTAGTTCAATGGAGGATGCTGGGAAATGCTGGCACTTGTGGGATACGTTGCCTCCTGCCCTGTCAACCTGTCTGGTGGTGAATAAGGATAGGCCTGACGACTGAAATGTGAAGAGAGCATCGAACATCAATCTTTTACTAAAGGATGAAAGAAAATGGATTTTTATATTATATCTATAAATATGCATCACAGAGTGGACAGATTCAAGCCTGTCACCAAATGCAGCTTCATGTATAAACAGATGTACACACACACTTATGCATATCATACAACATTTGGAAGCGGATCAGAAATCAAATACAACGCATAATTTACAACACATATTTAGCTAGATCAGAGGGAGCTGTGGACCAGCAGACCTGTGTGGTACCTCGGTGCACAGATTTACGTTCAGTTTGTGGTTTGGGGGCCAAACCAATCACTCGTAGCTACTGCAGATGTCCAAATACGCAACAACCTTACAGCCTCTTTGGGTTGTTTGCTGCAGGGCTACACAAACACCCAGCAAACAGCAGCTGAGGGACGGCTCACGACAACAAACATGCACACGGACGTAACTTCCACCGCACCCCGATGGCGATCCTGTCCAAGTGAATGGAAAAATCTCAGGATGTCGGAATCTCAGAAAGGGGTTGAAATAAAAAGCAACAGCAGAGAAATGAAAACTAAACAATGAAATGAGAGTGACGGCGCAGGAGTGGGCGAGCAGTGAAATGCACAACAGGGATTGTCTTCATTTTAGGTCCAGGACATCGTCTTCGAAGGAGGTGGAGAGTGGGAATGCACTGGCGAGAGGAGGACTCTCTGCCTGCAGCGTCTCCGGTTCGGCTTCGGGACAGTGCAGCTGGACGTCCAGCTCTGCTTCCACGGACTCCGAGGCCAACCTGAGGAGCACAGACCACTCAGGCCACGATCCAGAGACTGTTCCTGTAAGAGCTGCATGCTTGTACCTGTCACTGTTTGTGGACGTCAGCGGTCGAGCTTTGGGCTCCTCGTCCGTGTTCTTCTTGCTCATCTTTCTCTGTTTGACTGACCCACTGTTGGATTTCCCGCTCGGCTCCTCCGTCAAGCCTTGGTTGGTGACAAAACATATAAATAAGTTGATCAAATCATTACTCTGACAAAACAAAAGCCCTTTTTGAATTCAAAATTTCCCAGAATACCG